TGTCTGGTTTTGCACCAGTACCATGCTGTTTTTATGACTATGGCTCTGTAATATACTTTGAGATCTGATATAGTAATTCTTCCCAACGTTGCTCGTTGTGTTCAGGGTTGCTTGGCTATCTGGGGTCTTTTTTGCCTCCATATGAATTTAAAGATGCATCTTTCTAATTTTGTGAAGTGTGTCATGGGGATTTTGATTGGGATTGCATTGAATCTATATATTGCTTTTGTTAGGATAGTCATTTTAACAATATTAATTCTTCCAATCCATGAACATGGGAGGTCCTTCCATCTCCTAGAATCTTCCTCAATCTCTTTAATGATTTAAAAAAAATTTCATTGTAGAGATCTTTGGTGTCTTTCATCAGAATTATTCCAAGATATTTTAATTTTTTGCAGCAATTTTGAATGGGAGCATTTCCCAGTATTCTTTCTCCAATTGCTTGTTATTGGTATATAGAAAGGATACTGATTTTTGTAAGTTGATTTTGTAACCTGCCGTGTTACTAAAAGCATTAATCAGTTCTAACAGTTTTTTAGTGGAGTATTTGGCATCTCTTATGTATGTATAATACCATATCAATTGCAAAGAGTGATAATACGTCTTCTTTTCCAGTTAGTGCTCCTTTAATTTCCTTCTCTTGTCTTACTGCTCTAGCAAGAGTTTCAAGCACTATGTTGAAAAGGAGAGGAGATTGTGGACCTTGATGTTTATATTTCTGATTCACATCTTAATTATTCTGGTTCCCTGGGTCACCAGAAATTCATGTCCTTCATTATCAGGCAATTCACAGCATTGAATTCTGTTTGAAGATGATGCCAATGACAATCTTCCTAGAATTATCGACTCCGAATAAGGAACATGCTGCATGCACCAATTATATGAACCAAAATCCAATTAAACGGTTCCTTGATATTTACTTATGACTTCCACATTCATATGTGTTAAAATGGTGAGAAAGATAATAGTGTGAAAAAATTATTGAGGTATATAATACATTTATTTAAAATTTAAAAATTTCAGTTGCTCATGGATGAAAACAAAACAGCATATGTTTATATCAATAGCTCCAAAGGTAAGACATAATTTTGGGTTACAAACTACTCTCATAAGGTCTCAGGAGTTGATGATGAAAGAATCTGTTAATAGAAGGATTAAAAGATAGAAATAGAGTATTAAGGATGTAAACTCCGGCTGTAGCGCATAGGGACATTGACTTCTATAAGACTATAGAGATCTAAGAGCTGAATCCATAAAGGCCACATCCGTACATCAGAATGTAACAAGAAGCTTGGCAGGTTCTAGAAGCAAAGTAGGTTGGGTAGTAGAATCTGGAGCCACAACTCAGGGTGGGGAAGCAAGAGACTCCATAATTCAGAGATCTGAAGCTATGTGATCCACAGCCCCCTGAGTAGCAGCTTCTAGTTCCATAGCCCCTATAATGGCAGGTGCTGGATCCAGAACCCAGAGATCCAGCATCAGATGGCTGGCAGGGTCTGCAAGATCTGGAGGTCCTTGGGTCTGGCAGGGGCTGGACAATACACAAGACTTCTGGCAGCTGGTGGACTCACTGCAGGTCTCTTGACAGTTATAGTAGTATGAGGACCCCAGCTGGCAGTGCTGTAGACCAGGTTCCTGGGGTAGGAGGAGCCACAGAATGAACCGGTGGCCTGTAGTGCCTAATGGAAGGGGAGGAGAGGTTTCTAGAGCAGTAGTTGTAGGACATACGGAGAGGAGATATGGGCTCAGATGGATGGAACTGAGACGATTCTGGCTTTTCACTGTCACTGATGGACAGGGACATTTATATACTCTAAGTAAGAGGTGTGGTGCCCAGTGAAGCCATCCTTGTCATTTCTGCACTCAATCTTTACTCATAAGGCATTCAGTAATCTCAATAATTGCAGTTTCATATGAATAGTTCTCTCAACATTATTTTTATGGGTGTTGTAATTGCTCAGATATAGTAAAAGGCTGTGGGCTACTCCTATGTCAGAAATGCCATGACTCTATTACACAAATTATATTCCATCATGACCAGGACAATCCTTCCTTTTCCTCTTGACAAAATTTTTGTCCATTTTGTCATAGGATATTATGAGAAAATTGGTTTTATTTACATGTTATGGAAAAAGAATAATGTGAATTTCATTTCATTAATGAGTGGAAAGCACTGTTTGGTATTTCCTTTGGAAGCTACTGAAGATCAACCTTTCTTGCTACCATCATTTCTCATTTTTCATAATTATTCTAAAGGGATTCATAGAAAACTGTGATGGTGAATGTTATCAGAATTCTCTGCTCAGTCACCCTGAATTTTCATTGGTCTGGGGCACTTGGTCCCTTTCACCTGAGCCCTCTCCTAAGGATATTCAGGATATCTAAAATATGGATGAGGATGGAATATATCAAATCTTGCTTATACTACTTTGAGAATAAAGTCTGTTTCTGTGGATATCAGAAGGTTCAGTTGGATACATTGATTTGGAATTGTCTACTTCATTGACCAAAAATTCATTTCAGTTGTGTACTTAATTACAGCATATTATATACCAACAACCTTAGCAGAAATAATATCATCAAAGGTAAAATGTGGTCCATTTATTATCAGAATTGCCAAGTGTTTCAAAATCTTTGCAACAATTTGGCTCTTTTAATCTAGTCCAAAGTGGTATTACTGTTTTTGCAGAAATAATAAAGTCACAAAACTTCATAAAGTATGATATTATGGCAGATAAAATAGACTCATATAGGAATTCATTTTTGATTCTTATTTTAAAAAGAAATCAGTATTAAGAACTGTTGTATAAGATGCACAAAAACTATACTTTTTTTTTTAAAAAAAGGAATCAGTATAATTTCCAGCCTATTGACAAAACCTCACAAAAGTGCAAAGTGGTGAGTATAAAACGTGTAGATTTCAAGTAATTGTAGCTTTGTTTTTGAATGTTTGCTTCTTTGACAGTTAACTCATATTAGGAAAATTTACATTTTGGTGTTTTAGGTTTTTTTATTTATTAGGATTAAGCTTTAAAATATTTTATTGTTATGAGTAACAATTATTTAAGCATTTGAAAAGTTATGCTTCAAATTGATAGGTGATTTATTTCATTTGAAAATATTAAGTGATCAGGTTTTAAAGCAGTACTCTTGTTTGACTTGGACTCTTTTGAAGTATACACTGGTATGCATAGAAAGTACTTAAAATGGACTTGGCAGAAAATATTTAGATCTAGCTACACAATCATAAACTCTCAGGTTGTGTAAGTAAAGGTGCAACTCAAATAATTTTGTCACCCCCACACAACATGGTTAAGGTATAATATGCATCTGAATTATTTTCTATCCCTAATAACATGTTTAATATTCAAAATTGTGCAAACAGGTTTGGATGCATTCATTTTTTGATGAATTGATTCCCTTCTCCAGAATTCCCCTTAGGAAAAAGAAAAAAAGCCCCTCAGACCTTTGCCACTACACTATAGTTGATTAGGATTGTTGGGAAGAAATCCCAAGTTTAAATTCGCCACCAGAGTCTCCTAGAAATCCCTTTGCTGTTTCTCAGATCAGTCACTGTCTGGGAGTAGTCCACGCAAAGAAAGGTTTCTGCATAAACCATGGTATGGGGTGTGCTAACTAATCCATGGGATGGGATAGCTAACTAAACCTTGTGTGATTTATGTGTTAGATATGAACCCTCTACATTGATGCACGTGCAATTTAGAACACAGTACTACCTCAGGCTACTTGTAAGATGCACTGGTGCTAAAATTTGTTTCCTCCTCTCACCTTTGGGGTGTTTTTCACTTTGATGCCATTTAGAGGCTCTCAGGCACATTTAGGGTGGTATGGCCATAGAGTTGACTCCATTTACAAGGACCCAAGGACCCATAATTCTTAGCATTACTTTCTGTGCTCGCTAATCCTGGCTGTCAACTTGACTGAATCTGGGATTAACTGGAGAGAGAGGAGAGAGAGAGAGGAGGGAGGGAGAGAGAGAGAGAGAGAGAGAGAGAGAGAGAGAGAGAGAGAGAGAGAGAGAGAGAGAGAGTTTTTTTATTTTTATTATTTGTATGTGAACTTTATCATTTGAAGCTGGAAGACCCATCCTAAATGTGGATGTTACCTTATGATGGGAGCCTACATAAAAGGCCATGACAGGAGGTGTTCTTGCTTTTTTGTCCCTTGCCTTCTCTCACTGGTAAGTTTGTCTTGCTGCTGTGACCAACTTTGGATTCCAGCGTAGACTGAAGATTAGCAAATCTTCAGAAATCCTATAGGCCTTCAGCACCACATAGGGACTACTGAGACCTCCAGCCTCGTGGACTGAGCAACTATCAGATTCTTAACCTCTCCAGTGTGGTGTAGCCATTGTTGGACTGCTTGGACTCTATCCTGTAAACTAATCTAATAAATCCATATATGTATTCATTCTACTATGGGTTTTGTTTCTTTTGACAACCCTAAATAATACAATTTCTTTAACTCAGTTCTGTGTGAGAAAGACTAGGAACAAGTAAGGTTAATCTTCCCTAGATTTCATAGGAAACCAAATAAATATCCACATTATTGAGAAGTAAAAAGACAAATTATTCTCATTCCAAACTACATAAATAAGACTATTATTCTTATAAAATTCTATGACAAAACACATTAAAACTATGTCAAGGGGAAAAGGAGGGATTTTCCTGGACATGAAGAAATGAACAGTAAAAAACAGTCATGGCATTTGTAGCATAGGAGTAGCTCACTGTCTTTTGCTATAACCAAATTACAACACTCGTAAACACACTGTGCAAGAAACTATTCAAATGCAATTGAATTACAGAGAGATTACCAAGCTGGATTTGTCAGTGAGGAAGCACACAGATATGGCAAGAATGATCCTGTTGGGTAATACAAATATAGCTGAGGGTATATAAATGTCCCTATCCACAAGGAGATATTCAAACTCAGAATCTTCTCAGTTACATCCAGCTGAGCTCACATCTCCTCTCAACATGTCCTACAGCTACTGCTCTGGAAACTTCTCCACCTCCCGTCGGTGCTACAGGCCCTACTCCTCCTGTGGCTCTTCCTACCCCAGTAATCTGATCTACAGCACCACCAGCTGCCTTCCCAGTACCTGTAAGATGGGCTCTCTTCTCCAGCCTGACTGTCAAGAGCCCCGCATTGAGCCTACCAGCTGCCAGAGGTCCTGTGTGGTGTCCAGCCCAGGCCAGACATCCTGTGGCTCATCTTACCCCAGCAACCTGGTCTACAGCAGCACGAGCTACTCTCCCAGGACCTGTCAGCTAGACTCCACTCTCCACAGTGGCTGTCAGGAGACCTGCATTAAGCCCATCAACAGCCAGGAATCTTGTGTGGTGTCTAACCCCTGCCAGACCCACTGCTACTACCCAAGGAGCTCCACACCTTGCAGCCCCTGCAAGCCTTCTTATGCTGGATCCCTGGGATTTGGATCCAGCAGCTGCTTTTCTGGTAGCTTTGGATCCAGAAGCTGCTATTCAGGGGGCTGCGGATCAAGTGGCTTCAGATCTCTGAATTATGGAGTTCCTTGCTTCCCTTCCCTGAGTTATGGGTCCAGATACTGCCACCCAAACTACTTTGCCTCTAGTATCTGCCAACCTTCTTATTACTTTCAACACTATGACTCTGTCCCCTGTGGATTCAGCTGTTAAGTCTGTAAAGCCTTGTAATATGGAAGTCAACTGTTTATTCCCTATAGCCATTGTCGTCAGGCTTCCTACCCACTGCTATCCTTTCCTCCTTCTGCTACTAATTTCTGTGTTGTAGACTATGAGATTACTGTGTAATGGGAAATTCTTCCATATTCTCTGTATTATCGAGCTATATATGTACCTGTTGTTTTTCTTCAAAGGTGTTTTAATATGAAAATTTTAATCTAATAAATTTGTGCTATATGACACCTCAAAGATTGTTCATGGTATTATTATTTTGCCTGTGGCTTTTGCATTAATGAATTTCGAAGCCTTATAAGATATCAGCATGAGTATCTAACTAGTTTGAGGGGGCAAATACATTTTGTTTGGGGTGTTTTGTTTTTTGGAGTACACATATGGAAATGATTTCCGGTGCACTTTAGAGCTCCTTGCCATTCTCTGTTCTTTGCAACTCAATTCACAATAGCTATGAAAAAGACTCAATGGAGATGTCAATCAGCTGATGAATGGATTTGGAAATTGTGGCACGTAGATAAATTGAATTCCACTCAAAGAGCAAAAGAAATCATGAAATTCTCAGGTAAATTGATGCCATAGTAAATATTATGCTGCAAGACAATATAATACACAGTCAGATATCACATATCCACTCATCCTATCTTTGAAATTTTGTTGTCTATGTTTAACCGAAAGTATATGTGGGAGTTAGAAAACCAGACAGAGGCAGGATACTGAAATGTAGGTAAAATTAAAGTAAGGTTGGGATAGAGAGGATTGAAATCTTGAACCTTGGAGAGGGTATAAGATATGGACATGAGGTATTGGTGGGAGACTTCACCAAAATTAAGAGTGCCTGAAAAATCTATAAGGAAACATTAGTTTTCAACTCAAGAAAAAATTCAATGGCAGGGGAAAAAAGAGATGTGCTTTCCATGTAGACTCAAATGAGTAAAACAACAAGACAACTGCTTTAAAGGATGATCATCTACTCTTAGCTGACAAAAGAGTTGTTGGTATCAGTTTAATGCATAAGGTTTCATTTGTTTTAAATCATTTTCTCTCATGTCAATACTATAATTTTTAGGCCTACAGAAACAACATAAGAAAATAAAACAGTGTAAAGCAGCATTACAAAATATGCCTCAGGATTAGAGGAAGAAAAACCACTTCCAAAGGGAGAACATAATTACTTTCATAAGAGATTTGTAAAGTAATGCAATATATTATTAATTCAAAAAATTGATTGAATCTTGTTCAAAACATTCAAGTAAAGCTATACAAAGCTTTACAAGTGTTGTTGCGGTATTTAAAAAAAGTCACAAATCTTTATAAACAGTGGTCTAATAGCACCTAAAATAAAATGAAAATCCTATGAAGAAAGAATTGGAAAATGAGATAAAATAGGTCAGTATTATTTTCAAACAAATTGCAATATTCCACCAGTCAAAGTAGAATTCTTTTAAATTTATAAGTTTGCAAGTCATGTTGTCAAGCAAAGCATTTCCCAGCCTTGTCAATGACTGTATTCACCGCATCCTTTGTAACTTTAATTTTGAATCTTTTTCGCTGCCTCTCATTTTTGAATTAAACTTATTTTATAAACCCAAGAAAATTCAAGGAAGTTTGTCCTGTTCCTTGATGAGCTGTATATACTATTCTGAATTCTTGACCTTTTCTTCACACCAAGTATGGTTTCTGTATTCTGTTATTTTTCTTTACTTCAGAGCTGTCTCATGATTTCATCATGGGTCCACTCTTCCGCAATGAGAATGATTACAGATAGACTCCAATTACAGTGCTGGTATGACGTCATGAAAGTTTAACGATTTCACTATTCTTGTTCATATAATTCAATATTATTGAAAGGAGCTTTTGTTGTTGATCATTAGATATTGATTCATAGACTTCAATCATCTGACACTAATTATAACAATTCAAATGAGTAAGATGACACAGAACTCAAGTTTTTCAGTAATTTCTCCCTAGATGTCACCAAATGTTTTTCTATCAATCTATCCACTCGTATAACAGTCAATACAAATGTTTTTGAACACATTACTTCAACTCCCTTCAATGTCTTTCCAGAAATCTCAAGTTGTTATTTTCCTTCTTTATTGTGGATTCTTAACATAAAGCTTAAGAGATAGATCCAATAGATTAAAATTATTCAGAGGAAGCAATTTCCATAGTTCATTCTGCTGGTTGTGGTGGTATATGCTTTTAATCCCAACACTCAGGTGGCAGAGGCAGGTGAATCTCTGTGAGTTCAGCCTGCTCTACATAGACAGGTCAGCTGGAGCTACAGGGAAACCTATCTCAAAAAGACAAAAAAAAAAATGAGCAAGGATCTGAGATTTCTCTAAGATTCGACATTCTACTAGTCTTAGATCCACAAAACTGGCAATTTTCAAACCCTGTTGCATCCATCCCCTTTCCTTCCTGTTTGGAAAGGTCAGTAACGTTTTTTTTCTCTCTCTTACATGTCAAAATGTTAAATGAGCATCAACATCTAGTAACACATTATTCCATGAATCTTGCAGTCACAGATCATCCTAGGCAAGGCCATGGCACAATTTCTGGTGGATTCACACCCTCTGTAAACAGCAATTTCCCTGCAGTGTACTCCGAAACCTTGGGCTAGGAACCTGCTTATTTCAAATGTTACTATTGTCTTAAAGAAGGACCCCTCTGTCCTTCCTCTCTTTCATAGTTACGAGAATCTATGGAATCCCAAAATTTCAATCAAAGAAAGATAGAGCTGAGAAAGAAATGTTTTTTCCAGGGGATTAGCCCCAGTTCTGGACAATCCTGAGAGTCTTTCTTAGTGCCTTGTATGTCCCTGGAGTACTGCGTTCCAACTTCTCCTTATGGAGATGTCAACATATATGCTTTTTACCAGATTTTTCCTTATCAACAATTTAGTCCCCTTAAACTGCCATAAACCCTGTGACACCAGCTTTGCAAGATTTTCTGCCAAATAAATTGCACCCAAATCTTTGACTTCAACTCTGATTTAAGACTCATACTAAAACTAATAAATTAAGTATTTTCTACATTTTCTAGATACATTGCTCATGGGTTGATTGAAGTTGAGTCTTGTTGAAGTATCAGGTTTCCAGGACCCTTATATCATGGATCATTGGATTCTTTTCACACATTTGGAGATTAGGTACAGGAATATTACCCCAAACTTAGGAAGCAGGGACATAGACATAAATGTCTTTCCTGAGAGTTGTTTAAGGCCAACTTTTCTCTTGTCTAAAAATCTACATTCCAATCCAGACAGATAATTTTTGACTATGTACAGACTTCGCCTTATAAATTTTATAATATCTATCTCGGTGTTTATACTACTGATTCACATTCTCATTACTTTGTTTCCCTGGGTCACCAAAAATGTTCTTGAATATCATGCAATTCACTGTACTGAGCCCTGTTTGAAGATCTGAATGACAATCTTCATAGAATTAGCTGCTCCATGCAGCAAACATACTGCAGGCAAAACTGTACATATTAAAATATAATTGAATGATTCCTTGATATTTAATTATAACTTCTAAATCCATATATGTGAAAACAGTGAGAAAAATAAAAACAATGCGAACAAATTATTGAGGTGTAAGATGCAACACATTTATTAGATTAAACTTTAAATTTTTCATTTGCTCTTGGATGAAAACAAAATAGCATATATCAATAGTTCAGACTGTAAGGCATATTTTGGATCTACAAACTAATCCCATAATATCCCAGAAGATGAGGGTGAAGAAGCTGTTAATGGAAGAATCAACATAAAGAAATAGAGTGTTAAGGATATAAAGAGTGGTTGTAGTGCATAGGGGCTTTGACATATTATAATAAGAAGACTATGGAGATTTAAGACCTGAATCCATAAAGGCCACATCCATAACTTGGAATGTAACAAGAAGGTTGGCAGGTTCTAGAAGTAAAATAAGTTGGGTAGTAGAATCTGGAGCCACAGCTCAGGGTGGGGAAGCAAGAGACTCCATACTTCGGGGATCTGTAACCACTTGATCCACAGCCCCCTGAGTAGAAGCTTCTAGATCCATAGCCCCCATAATGGCAGGTGCTGGATCCAAAGCCTAGAGATCCAGAGTAAGACGGATGGCAAGGGCTGCAATATCTGGAGCTCCTTCGGTAGTAGCAGTTGGTTTGGCAGGGACTGGACACCACATAGGACCTCTGGCAGCTGGTGGGCTGAATGCAGGTCTCCTGACAGCCACTGTCGAGAGTGGAGTCTAGCTGACAGGTGTTGGGAGAGTAGCTCGTGGTGCTGTAGACCAAGTTGCTGGGGTACGAAGAGCCACAGGAGGAACCTGAAGAGGGCTGGTAACACCTAAGGGAAGAGGAGGAGAAGTTTCCAGAGCAGCAGTTGTAGGACATGTTGAAAGGTGATGTGAGCTCTGCTGGATGTGAATGAGAAGATTCTGAGTGCTCGTGTCTCCTTTTCGGCAGATGAATTTATATGCTCTTAGTCATAGGTGTGGTACCCAACAAAGTCATCCTTGCCATATTTGTGTGCTTCCTTCTTTACAAATGTGCAACTCAGCAATCTCTCTTAATTATAGTTACATTTGAATAGTTTTCTTCCCATTATATTTATGAGTGTTGTAATTTCATTATAGCACAACACAAGGATATATTTCTATTCATAAATGCTATGACTGTTTGACACTAATTCTTATTCCATCATATCTTAGGAAAATACATTCTTTACATCTTGACATAATTTCTATATGTTTTTTCATAGAATGTTATGAGGAAATTGTTATTATTTATGTGGTTGGAGGTGACAATATTGTGCCTGTCTTTATTAATGAATTGGAAGCATTGCTTTTGGTTTGCTATGGTACTTACTGAAGATTTACTTTAGCTGTAACCATCCTTTCTAACTTTTAAAAAGCATTCTATGTGGCTTATATAATGTTACCTCTGCGTTTCACATACAGTAGCAAGGGAGCCACGGAAGTCATGGAAAAGCCAAAATTATTGAATATAGGAGACAGAGAGAAATGACAAGAAAATGGTTGAAGTTGTGGTGACTGAACTGAGATATAGTCACAAGTGCTATGTGTTTTGGTCTCTCATTAATGGAATCAATTTGGAAAACATTCAAGAGAAGAGAAAAGGATACAAATTTTATAACCAGTGTATATGGTATTGGGCCTGAGGTAGTCCTGGATTCTAATCTGTATGTGTGGCAGAGTTGAGAATTTACTTCACAGCCCTTAAGCCACAGGACAGTTAATTCACTATGACCCTTCATGCTATGGTCTAAAATCTAACTACATTTCTACAGAAACCTTGCTTCTTATAGATTACTACTTCCCAGTGACTGAGTCTGGAGAAGGTAAAGGGGTTCCTAGTATGCTCTGATAGACAACTTTAACCCAGGGCTTCCCTCAAAGATCCCAAATAATTACCCTGAGTCTACATAGTTTTCAAGAACTTTTTCTTTTTCTTCTGAGTTCTCTCTTTGTGGAGAACCTGAAAAAGAAAAACAATACATAAAGCCTGAATACATCAAATCTTGTTCATACGCTTCTGAAAACAAACCCTATTGTTGAAAGCAGAACACTGGGAATTTTATCTTGTCATGTCATTGTGGATGACCAAAGAAATGATCTCAATTGTGTACTTATTTATAAAACCTATTTTTTGATTTTGAGTGTGAGTGTAACTTGCATCTAAGTAATAATGTCTACTGAGCCCATCTTTAGCCGTGCCTACAATGGTTATAGAGGTTTACATAACTTTCTTGTTTACTGTTTCATGGGTGATTTGGTGCCTTTGATCAATACTGATACATTCTCCACTGAAATCTCTCCTCATGTATTATTTCCACATCATCTACTTCTTTTTCTTAGACTCCTGTTTTAAGGAAGGTGCATATTTTTAGCTAGGTCCCATAAGCTTCCTTTTTTTCCTGTTCTCAAACATTTTGTCTTTACCTTTAGTCTGGGCATTTTCTTCTGTCCCACATTTCATTTTATTGAGTGCAACTGTGTTTAAGATACTGATTAAAAACAGTCCATAAAGCTTTTTCAAATTAATTACTATGAAGTTTTAATTTTTCAATCTTTAATCAAGTCCTATTGCATTATTTTGTTTTCCCATCAAATTTCTTAATCTTATCTTTTTTCAAATGTAATCATTTCTTGAAAATGAAATGATTCCTATTTCTCATTGTCAAATTCTTCACATAGGTCTGGACATGTGTCATTGAATTATGGGATGTGTTTGGGAAAATGTGTTGTTGGGCAGTTGCATCATTTCCAAATGCCAAGGCATACTTGAACACAGATGGCTACAGCATTATGAGGCAAGAGAATCCTATGGGACCACCATTGTCTATGCTGTGTGCAACTGACTGAAACATTGTTGTGTGATAGATGACTCATTTTTAATGCCTGCTGTGCATTATAGGAACTCTGTGGTTCACATTCTAATTTTCACTCTACTCTTGTGTTTCAGACTTCATACATTCCTTATGTGCTCTGAGAAAATAACAGACATTTCATTGGAAAAGAAGATTTTAGCTTCCTTCCAAGATGATTTACTCTAGGTTCTGCCAGGTTTCTAGAATAGACACCCAGAAGCTGGATCATTTTAATCCAATCAAGCTTTGATATAATTTAAACATGAGTTTCTGTCTTAAAGACTTTGCCCATTAGAAATTCAATTTCACCTCTGAGAATTGCCTCTTTAAGGTCTGGGGTAATTCCTAGGGCCCTAAGTCTTTGAAAGACCAAAAATTCCCAATTCGTTATCTAGTTTTGAAAGTTTCTTGTTGCCTTAATCAAAACTGACAGAGTCAAGAGGTACTTTTAAGGGAATTATAATTTTGAGTATAGCCTCTTTCTTTGGTTATCATTTCTGGCTCATGTAGGATCTCTGTGATTCTGAAAAGCTTTGGTAATTCCCTGATAATATGTATAGACATACACACACACACACACACACACACACACACACACACACACATTTGTTTGTAATCCTCCAACTTTTCTGTTTTCACTGAAAGATACTGATCAGTATTTTAATATGCATTTGCTAATTTTATAAAACTTATTTTTAAAACTATTCTATTTTTATCATTTTATTTTTTGTGTGAGAGTGTACTGCATGCATGTGTATAAGGGCTGCCAAATTGTGCAGTACCCACAGAGGTCAGAAGAGGACCCCATGTGGGTGCTGGGAATAGAACCTGGGTCCTCTGCAAGAGCAGTCATTGCTCTTAACAGCTGAGTAATTTCTCCAGTCCTAATTTTAGAAAACTTTTTAAAGATTTGTTTACATTCAAATGACATAGGAATGATTCAAATGAGAGTATCTGCCTTAAAGTATTCTATATTAGCTTCAGCAAATACAGATGCTGCAGTTATCTGTGTTCAGTCTGTCTGTCTAACCCTGAGTGCTGTCTTTGTGCCACATACATCTTCTTTCAATGGTTATGGGAAGATTGAACCCCACATGCTTGCATAGCATCCTCTTTCCTACCATTCCATTTTATCCTCCTAGACATTACTTCTTTCCATCTTTGTTGTAGTTGTGAATTTCAAAGTGATATCTGACAACCCCTATCCCCAAATAAAAAACAGTGGTCAATACCCTGTTGATGTCCTGGAGGTCTTGAATATAAACTGAATATTGATTACTGGACATGTGTATACATTTCTGCCTTTTGCATTCACCAGAGCATGCTAAACCCCTGTTAAAGGTTCTACTAGGACTGAGTCCAAATTGACTGTAGTATAGCTAGCTTGAAAATTGCTGACATTAACTTCTACCATTTTCTAGCGTATTTTTCTTCATCCTGTAGGATCATGTAGCAAATAGTGTATGAATCCACATTTAAAAAAATAAAAGTGATTTATTGTAATTATCTCACAAATAAAGCATCACACATCTAGATTAAGGTAACCCCTCAAACAAGCACTCAGTTCTAAATTGTATACATTTCAGTGAACTATGCAATTAGAACGGCCATTCTGAGGCTGTGGAACTTTAAGTTTTCTACTTTCACTATCAAGTGTATTTATACACATATCCACCACAAAAGGAGAAAGAAAAAGCATTAAAGAGTTGAAACTAGAAAATCAAATACTTTATATACCCTCTTTCAGGACTCATGTGATCTTTACCCTGTATTCTGTCCATTTTTTTCAATAAATTTTGTAAAAATTTGTAGGAAAGAATGTAGAGGATTTATATTTTAATATTTATTTGTGCTATTTTTGCATTCGTGTACATGTATCTGTGTGTCGTCATATGCATGTGTGTATATGGATACCCCAGGAAGCCCGAAGAAGAGATCAGATGTCCTGCAGTTAGGGTTAGAGGTGGTTATGAACTGCCTGATGTGGGTGCTGAGAACCAGCTCTGCTCTGGAAGGGCAACAAGACTTCTTAACCTCGGAACCACCTCTTCAGCCCCAAGGGCTTATTAACATGTTTATTAGGCAATCTCTAGGGTTTCTCTGACCTTATAAAATTTTAATAAAATGTTCCCTAGAGAAAAATACTAAGAATGTATTAAAGGGCGAAGTGTGTTTTAAAACCGCATGTAGATATCTTTCTATGATGAGTGGGTTTTTGAGAATATGCAGTTCTAATTTAATATTGCATAATAAAATGAATATTTTTGTGGTTATTGATAGCAATAAAGAATTTTATTAAGAAGGTACTGGTTTTTGTTTATGGAGATTCAATTATATTTTTTAAAAGCAAGATCCCTGGTATTTTGATGATGGAGTGATTGGAAATTTTAAGAGGAAAAGTAAGTATCCCAGAAGCTATGACTTTCAACTTGATATGGATCTGTTAGAAACAACTCAATAATAAAATATATTTTTACCTTGATATGGATCTGTTAGAAACAACTCAATAATAAAATATATTTTTTTCATAGCCTACTGATGATAACCTGCAATCGAAAGTCTACAAGCAGAAGCCTCAGCATGAACAGCTCAAGTTGTACAGTTTATGTGAAATATATTTTCAATTTTTATTTTTATTAAATTTATTTTATTTTGATTATTTTTATTTTATGTGTATGAGTGTATTGCCTGCATTTATGTAAGTGCAACTGTGTCGTGCAATGTCTGACAATGTCAGAAGGTGTCAGATGCCCTGGAACTGGAGTTACATGTGGCTGTTATCTAACATGTAGGTGCTGGGAACTGAACCAGGGTCCTCTCCAAGAGCAGCCAATGCTCTTAACCACTGAGCCGTCTCTCTAGCATCAATTTTCAAATGTGTATGAAAAACTAGGTAAAAAATTGTCATGACCATCTAACTTATACAGAGAAAGCAGTAGAGCCTTTGGTGTAAATTTAGTTTAAAGGTAGGGCATTTAAAAATTCTTTTGGAAATTTATCTCAATTTATTGTAGATAGAATTCTAGACTACTAGATTTCCAGATGAACA